GGTATGAATTTTAAGAAGGAACCCATTCCATTTTTTATTCTTCTACTGGGGATGTGGCCTGCTATATTTCAGGAGGGGGTGCATAATTACTGCCCACTCCATTTCTTGCAAGGTGAATGTCTAAATAATCATTTGGTGTGAAAAAAAAATTATGTGGAGTCCCCTTCAAAGTCAATATTAGACCCTTACCCTAGATAAGGTTCTGGTACAGATTCCGTGCAACAAAAACTAACAATGGCATGGGCCCCCCTCAAAATCTAAACCAGACAATTAATTGGGCTTCCAAATTGAGAAATTCCCTTTCCGAGGGACCCACTCTTTGCAACACCTAACCTACAATGTTGAAGGGGACAAAGGCTTAATCTCCACAACCCTGAAATTGTTGAAGTTGATAGGACCCTTTAAAATTAATAAAGATGAGGTTCACATTCATGGCCATGCAGGATTTTTACCAAACTCTGCATGATTGCTATCCATGGACTGGTATGAACACCAACAGTGCTGAGCTGCTATCCTATAAATAACAAAAGCATTTATGTTTACAAGCAAATAAATAAATAATCAATCAACAGCGAATTAATAAATAATTAAAATCTACAAATAATATAAGTAAAATAAATAAATAATTGATAAGTAAATCATTGTGGAAAGTCCACTAAAGTGTTCAAATTATTGATATCAATATTCCACTGATAAAGTGCCACCACACTTCTCCAAGAAACAGTAATAATGTGTGCTTGTCTGTAATAGTTGTTTCACACCAGTGCCCCCACCACCACACAGAATGTTTACTCAACTCAAATAAAGGACCTCTAAGTATCAATTGCCACTAGACTGGGTGTAAGCTCAAAAGAAGGAAAATGGATCCATAGTGTAACAATTTTATTGAAGATTAAAATAATAAAATCTGAATATCAATATGAGTCACCGAGACTTTAAAGCGCATTGAGCAATACAAATCAGTGTAACTTCAAGTCCTGGCCCCCAGACTGGAAATTATATCACCTGGCTTCTGTCCTATGTGTTATGCCACTCACACATGTGACTTCCACAGGGATATTCTTATCAAGAATTTGAACACTTTAGTGGACTTTGCACAATGATTTACTGACAGTTCATTTATTTATTTTACTTATTATTCTTATTTATTTGTGGACTTTGCACTATTAATTTACTAATTTATTGTTGATTGATTATTACTTTATTTGCTTGTACACGTCTATGTTTTTATTATATATAAGATAGCAGCGCAGTTCTTCCGATGTTTATATTTGTTGTGATTTATGTATGGGATCACATGTATTAGTGTTTGCAACAGCTTTACTTTTGTATTTTTAATTATTTTTTTTTAATTATTATTTTTATCAGTATTTGAGGATTTCACTTTTTAGGGTGTGTTTCACTTTTGTGATTCTTTTGGCTGTGCATCAGAGTTTCTTTTTATTTATTTATGTATTTATTTATGGACTGGGTGAACTACATGTTCAAATCTGGACTGTTCACCTATTTCAACCTCTTTATCACGTACCTGGTGCTGGAGGCCAATGGAGAGAGGGCTTGCCTTGCGGCTAAGTTCCAGACTCCCTTGGTGATGGGACAGAAGGAGTCAGGCCCAAAGTAGCATGGGTCACCTGCAGGAGTGCTTTTAGAGATGGTCTGACTGAGGATGCCACAGGTACACCCAGGAGCACAACTGATTCACTGGAATGGTGTCTGCAGACAGGTTGAGCCCATTAGAGATAGCAGGCCTTCAGAGTAGCAGAGGACAGCAGAGTATTCGGTTCGGAGCCAGGGTCAGATGCCAGGTAGGGATTAGAACAGACGTAGTCAGATGGATAGCCGGGGTCATGCACAGGAGAGCAAGTGAGAATATCCGTTAGCCAAGCTGAGGTCAGATCAGGAGACAGACAGAGAAACAGGTCCAGAAATAAGCCGAGTCTGAAACAGCAGATCACAATAGCAAGGGAAACACAGGACAAAGGTACTGGGGAGCCAGAGATCAACCAGCAATTTGAGAGAGTGATGGGCTTCCTTATAAAAGGCCATCTAACGCAAAACTGGGCTAATGAATGTGTAACTTGCGCCAATGCGCATGCGTGTTCTGGCTCACATCTGTACGCCAGTGAGCATAAATGTTCACCAGTGTGCATTTCTGCGGCCATGCAAGGTACTGGCAGGAACGGTAGATCTCTGGGTACCTCTGCTGTGGACAGAGCCCTGACACTCTTACTGCTACTGCAGCAGGATCTGCAAGTGGGTTGATGTGTTTTTATTTTTTCCGGATGGTTGGTGGGTGTTGTTCATTGACATGGGTCTGCTTTTATTTTTTTTACAGAAAGTACTTTATCAAATGTGTGGTATTTTTATTTGCATTACATTTTTTTTTGCATTATATTTTTTTGTGAATGAGTAACCAGGAGTACCATGTACCCTTATTTATTTACACAGGGGGTGGCTATCCAGAGCCTCTTTTCTTTTAAAGGAGGTTTCCAGATTCAGTTAAATTGTTTCCACAGAACCCACATCTGCTGGACCAGGGGTGTCTTACCCTATAAGATACTATCCTTATTTTGAGGGCATGTGGCCTAGTATAGTACAGGAAGGGGGATGCAAACTTGCTGCCACCCTTTCCTTGTCATCAAGGTTGCATTCTTGAATAAGGATCTTGTATGGTGGATTTTGGGGGGACCACGCATTTATTTCTTCTTTTTTCCATTCGCTTTCCTTCTAAAATTCATACCAACTCATTTGGGTCTGGTATGGGTTTTGTGAGACCTCACACATTTTGTTCTTGTTATATGTCGGGCCCCTTCTTTATCAAGGATACGGGTCTATTATGTATTTTGAGGCCCTCATTTAGGATAAGAGTTTGCTATAAAAGAAGGTAATCCTCAGCCACTTTGTTTACAAACAGTCTGAAGAAGGTCAGCCCAGGAACGCAACACATCAGGTGGAGTCCATCCCAAGTGATGTCATAACGCTTTTGAACTAGGTGCTGGGAGTTTTTTTCACAGTGGTGCTCTGTGCATCTAATCTGTTAGGTGATGTTTGTCTATTTTACTTGAGAGCTTGTTTTTATGAATAATGGGAATAACTTCAAGCACGTATTATGGTGAATACAAATGTAAATACAAATCAATAAGTATGACATAAACTGTAGCCGCTAGTGCACACAACCCATGTCTCAGTGGGTTAAATAATGAATAATATTAATGAAAATATGCTGCGCTACATATAACAAAATGCACAATACCTAAACCATATATCTATACATAAAACAGTGATGTCAAAAACAAAAACTAAGTGACTCAAAAAAAAATTATTTTAAATAAAATGGATTAATTGTCCAAAAAATGAATTTGGTTAAAGTAAAATAGTTTAAGTATTCTCCTGTGACCCCTCCTTGAAATAACGACCACAGTGTGCATCTGCCGCAGAAATCCAGTGCAAAATAACCTCCACCATATATCTGCTTACCTCCAGCAGTGTGACCTCACATTATACAATGTTTTGGTCTAACTGCACTTTTGGTCCCAAATGTATGGTCTCTGAAGATCAAATTGCTGAATGATAGCTCCAAAAGATGCTCCCTCCAGTTAACCGCATCAGGCTCAGCCGTATTCCTCATAAACAAAACTCAAAATAGTGCTTTATCCTTTAAAACGTTTATAGGGGAGGAGCATGCGGATGATGTCACAACATTACCATTCATTGGAATATTGGTAGTAGTAATCCACATATCACTCCAGGATTGTCATTCTTGCAGGCAATTGCAGTTACACATAGGGCCCATGCATTGCCTTGCAATATACTGTGTATAGTGACATTTTGGAGCCTTGACTGTTTTTTATGCTGCCAGAGATGATACTGCCATCTTGTGCCTAATGAGTACATTACTGGATGTTCACCATACATGGTGCAGATACGACCTACGGAATGTGAGTGCATTTGTTATGTTTTAATGTGCAAATAAAAGTTTTATAATGTCACCAGGATTGTTACATACTTATAGGGTAAAAAAAAAACAAAAAAAAACCACTAGTCCATCCACTTAAACCTAAGTATGTGTATGTGGGAGAGATAGAAATAATGAAGAGTGATAGCAGAAAAAAAGACCAAGTGGTTCATTGGGTCTGTCACATTTTTTATACTTTTTTTTTTACTTTTTTCCCTGAGTATAGATCTATGTTTGTCTAAAGCATGTTTGAATCCACTTACTGTTGATTGATTCACTAGTAATGCAGCCTAGAATTCTGTTTGTTTTTCCACTGCTCGGCCACACTGTTTGCTCATTTTGCAGTCGTCTGAAATATCTACTCCCAAATATTTTTCTTCTATAATTCTGGCCAACACAGTCCCCCCAAATATTGTAGTCTGTAAAGGGATTCTTTTTACCTAGGTATATTATTTTACATCTAGAAACATTGAACTGCAGTTTCCACTGCTTTGACCAGTCTTCCTGCAATGCCAAATCCTGTTCCATGTTACAGACACCTCCAACCTATCAACCCTATTTGTATCATCAGCAAAAAGACAAACCTTACCAACCAACTCTTTAACCGCCTCCCGCCCACCATATAAGGAAATGACAGATAGGTAGGCGGTTCTCTTGTTCTGGGAGGACGTCATATGAAGTCCTCCCATTCTAACTGCACGAGTGCACCCCCTGGGGCACGCAGCACGGTGATCAGTGGTGTGCTGCGTCCCTGGGACACAGCGGATCACCGATCACCGGAAAGAGCAGATGACGTCGGCTCTGTCATGTGATGAGCAGTGTCCAATCACAGCTTATCGCTTGTAAATAAGGAAATTCCGGTTATTGGCGTTCCTCTCCTCACGAGCTGTCACGCTGGCTGCTCGCGAGGAGAGGAGAGCTGGTAATCGGCATTCCTCAGAGGGGGCATGTACACTGATCATCAGGGCACTTATGATCAGTGCCCTGAAGATCAGTGTAGCCCCATCAGTGCCACCTGTCAGTGTCCATCAATGTCACCTTTTAGTGCTCATCAATGCCACCTGTCAGTGCCCATCAGTGCCACATCAATGCCACATATCAGTGCCCATCTGAGCTGCCTTTCAATGCCACCTATCAGTGCCAGTCAGTGCCGCCGATCAGTGCCAGTCAGTGCCACCTATCAGTGCCAGTCAGTGTCACATATCAGTGCACATCAGTGTTGCCTATCAGTGTGAATCAGTGCCACCTGTCAGTGCCCATCTGAGCTGCCTTTCGGTTCCACCTATTAATGCTAGTCAGTGCCGCTGATCAGTGCCAGTGAATGCCACCTATCAGTGCCAGTCAGTGCTGCCTATAAGTGCCACCTATCAGTGCTATATATGAGTGCTACCTTTCAGTGCCCATCAGTGATGCCTGTCAATGCCCATCAGTGCCACCTACCAGTGCCTCCTCATCAGTACCCATCAGTGCTCTCTCTGCGATTCTCTTCTCTGCGATTGGACCGCCATGTGTGTGTGGGGGGGAGGGACTTTTTGACCACTTTAGCATTTTTTGGCATATAAGGATTGGTCCAGCAGGTACACACTTCAGCTCTGAGGAAGGGGGTTCGTCTCCCGAAATGCATCAGTTTATTCCTAATTAGGGCACAGCATTGCATTGACTGCCATTGCTGACTATTTATTCTGCTTTTATTCTCCTTTGGTTTGTGAGTATATATCTATATGATTACACAATAAACACGTGGTGTACCATGGTAATGCAAGATGAGAGTGAGCCCTTGTTTGTTTTTTTGTTCATTACCACCCAAAGAAAGCTCTATCTGTCTCAAAAAACTTATAAAAATTTCATATGAGTATGTGACGGAGATGTAGGCAGGACAGAACGCACACAGAAAATGATAGACACACAAGGGTTTTATTGAAGGATGTGAGACACTTGGTCAGGGTAATAAAGGTATCCTCCGGGCACACAAGGGGAAGTCCAGGCAACAATAATCTGGGCACACAATAGGGCAGTTCAGGCAACAATAATCCGGGCACACAAAGGGGCAGATCAGGCAAAGATGACTGGGCACACAATGGGGCAGTTCAGGTAGCAATAATGTGGGCACACAATGGGGCAGTTCAGGCAAAGATAACTGGGCACACAATGGGGCAATTCAGGTAGCAATAATCCGGGCACACAATGGGGCAGTTCAGGTAGCAATAATCCGGGCACACAATGGGGCAGTTCAGGTAGCAATAATCCGGGCACACAATGGGGCAGTTCAGGCAAAGATAACTGGGCACACAATGGGGCAGTTCAGGGCACTCCGCAACATGCGGCTTGTAGGGACAGTCTCGGCAGGTGGCTTCCAGGGACACTCAGCAGTGGACAGCTTCCAGAGACACTCAGCAGCGAACAGCTTCCTGGCACACTTAGCAGCAATCAGCTTGCAGAGACACTCAGTAACAGGCAGTGTGCAGGGACACTCACAGTGGTCAGCTTCCAGCTCAGCCAGGTGCACACTCAGGGACACTCAGCAACAATGTGTAGGGACACGAAGCAGGCAGTGTACAGGGACACAAAGCAGGCAGTGTACAGGGACACGAAGCAGGCAGTGTGCAGGGACACTCTGCAGCAGGCTTGCAGGGACTTGGCAGGGTCTTGGCTGTGGGGTCTGGCCTCAACTCAGACCTCACACAGCACTCTCGGACTAGCAAGGGACCAACTCCTCACGGGTCTTCAGAGGGCTGTGTGTCTTGGCCACAGCTTCAAGACTACACAGGCAATATAGGACCACAAGTCCGAGCAGTGCACAAAGCAAAGCACAGTTCAATGCATCTCCTGGCTCAGCCAGGAGTGGCTCTGAGATCCCAACTCAAGCTCTCCCATTTATAAAGAGACAGTATGGCCCTTTCAATTGACCAAGCCCTAAACTCCTGGTGAGAACACGTCTGGCCTTTCACAGCCACAAAAGACCATGCTGTCTGCGCTCCCTGCTGGGATCAATTTAATTTCCCACCCCCTGCAGACAAGATGACTGTTGGCCTGGCCACACGTGTTAACAAACCAACACGAAAATAAAAGAATATTTCTGCTGTCCATCACAGAGTACAATGTTGCATGACTGTGCAATTGTCATCATTCAAAGTGCGACATCGCTGAAAGCTGAAAATTGCCATGGGCAGGAAAGGGGTAAAAGTGCCCGGTAGGCAAGTGGTTAATTTATGTCACCTACAAATATATTAAATAGAACAGGACCTAGTACAGTGCCCTGTGGTACATCATATACAACCACACCCTGGCATCTGTTCTTTATACAACTGTGTATCCACTGAACTGCCCAAGGGTTAAGTCCTAGCTTGTACTACAATGTTTTTATTAGGTCACGTGGAAATGTATCAAATGCTTGGATGAAACCAAGGCTAGATATGTACACAGCACCACCCTGGTCCAAAGCATTAGTGATATAGTAGAACATTTCAATCAGATTAGTCAGACGTGATCTGCCTTCAGTAAGGCTTTGGTTCCAGAAAATTGTGTGTTTTGTAGTGATCAATAATTTTTTAATTTAGGTGTGATTCTATTAACTTGACTACAACAGATGCTAAACTCACTGGTCTGTAATTGCCATCTTTCTACCTTGCTACCCTGTATTGAGGATTGGTACCTATTACTTTCCGCCGGTCATTAGGAACCTCTTCTGTTAGAGGAGATTGATTTTTGGTCAACAAACTCTACCTCAAAGCTTTAACCAAGCCAGTTCCTCTGCTACTCTATAGAAATCTGAAAATGAACTGCTACCCTTATTGAGGATTGGTACAATATTAGCTTTCCGCCGGTCATTAGGAACCTCTTCCCTCTCTGTTAGAGGAGATTGATTTAAAACATGTGTTAAATGGTCAACAAGAAGCTCTACCACATCAAAGCTTTAACACAAGCCAACCATTCCTCTGCTACCTCACCCCCCAGAAATCCTGAAAATGAACTGTCATTCCAGCACCAATATGATCCTCCAACGTATTATTGTTCAGTGCGGGTCCCATAAGTTTTTTCCAGGGAAGACTGTACATTAAGAAGTAATTGTTTAAAGGAGGGAGGGGTTTGCTACCCATTGGCCAAAAGAAGGCGGGCTCCCTCAACATAGGTTTTGTGTCCAGTTCCATTTTACAATCCCATTGTCTTTTTGGGGGAGTATGGTCAAGATCTGATGTAAGGAGGGGGATTATATGTAAGGAGGGGGACCCTAAGGTATGGGGGAGGAACCCCATGGACCTTAAAGAGGCAGTACACAGGTGGCTCATTTGTACCTAGAGGAAGCTTATAGTAAGGCTTACCTGTAGGTCCAAGGAATATATCTCCTAAATGTGACATCACTGACAGATGCGCACTGGTCTCTGAAGGAATGGCATGCCGTCCATTCAGAGTGCTGTGCTGCGGCTGTGGCTCCCATGCACATTCGCTGGAGTGACCTCATCATGGCTCAGTCACTCAAATCGCCAGAGCCCATGTGCCTTGAAGGAAAACCAGGTGGACATGGAAGCCCTGTCTGCAGTGACAGCATGTCACTAGAGGGCTTTGTTTTAAGGTATGTGTCTCGTAGTGTGCAAGTATGCAATGCATACCAGCACATTATGCCCTTAACTTGCAGGGGGATTTTTTTTTTGTCACACTTTACTACTGCTTTAATGTAAGGAGGGACTCTAGGGACCCTGATGTTAGGGGAAGTGACTCTAGAGACCCTGACATAAGGGGGTGACTCTAGGAACCCTGATGTAAGGGGGAGGACTTTGATGTCGAGGGGGAACTCTGTGAAATCCTTTTCAGGAGGAACTCTTATGGGGATTCTTAATGTAAGGGGGGAAACTGATGTGGGCTCATCCTGATGCTGCACTCTATATGTTGTTTTGTATGTTACTTACGCATGACCCCTGCACTATATACATTATGTTCTACCAAAGTACTCACCAAAGCTCTCTCCTGACCAAAGTACTCATTGTCCCAACAGTCGCTGGTTTTAATGAAGTTCTTCTTTACAGTAGGCTCAGACAGACAAAATGATCACTCAAAGTCACTTAAATCTCCTTCCTTCCCCATTCTGATGCTCAGTTTGAACTTCAACAAGTCGCCTTCACCATGTCTACATGCCTAAATGCATTGAGCAGAAAAGCATGTGTGATAGAAACATTTAAATATTTAAAAATGATTCTTCATTCTGAGGTTTGTGTATCTGTGAGATTTTCACTTGTGACATTGTAAGTAAGGAGTACTTTATAGGTACAAGGACCAGCCACTATATTAGACACACCTGTTCAATTGCTTGGTAACACAAATTGCTGATAGGCCAATCACATGGCAGACACTCAATACATTTAGGCATCTAGACATGGTGAAGACGGCTTGCCGAAGTTCAAACTGAGCATCAGAATGGGGAAGAAATGAGATTTAAGTGACTTTGAACGTGGAATAGTTCTTGGTGCCAGAGGGACTGGTCTGAGTATTTCAAAAACTGATGATCTACTAAGATTTTCAAGCACATCTATCTCTAGGGTTTACAGAGAATGGTCTGAAAAAGAGTAAATATCTAGTGAGTGGCAGTTTCGTGGAAGAAAATTCCTTGTAGATGTCAGAGGTCAGAGGAGAAGGGGCAGACTGGTTTGAGATGAGAGAAAGGTAACAGTAACTCAGATAACTACTCATTACAATCAAGGTATGCATAATACCCTCTCTGAACACACAATATGTCAAACCTTGAAGCAGATAGGCTACAGCAACAGAAGATCACACTGGGTAGCAAGGCATGCCTAATAAAGTGGTCGTCGAGTATACATGTGCAAGGTATACAGTGACTAGGCACATATTCTGTTTAATCATCCCCTTTTTAGCTTCTCCCACTGTTAGCAAAAATCTGTCCTCTGTGTCATTTACTATTGACTCTTGAACTCTGCCTCACCTACTACTGATCTCTGAAGTCTGCCTCATCTACTACTAACCTCTGTCCTCCATTCTGCTGACCCCCGTACACTGCCCTACAAATGAATGACCTCTGTAGACAGCAATAAAAACTTCTGCCCTGCTTACCCCCAATACACTGCCCTGCTGACTTCCCATTTTCTGCACCCCTGACATTTTTCACTGCATCCCCACATCAGACAGGCTAAATCCGGCCCTGTAACTAACATAGACTGACAAAACCTTCAGCTTTTCAACAATCTTTTAGCCAAATTGTGAACTCTGCTATACAAGAGATTTTCTATTGTTATGCATTATGGACAGGTAAAATCTCTGAAAATGTAAGAATACACTCTAAATGGTGAAGATCCTGGCTAAAATTCTGAAAATCCTGCTGTACAGAATGCACCTCATTTTGGGACATATCATTTGTGCTAAGCTGCACATTAACATCAACATCGCACTCTTGCTTTCTTGACAATTTTTAAAATGTACCTCTTACTCTCTTAACAGTAGCACCAGGTAAACACCTAATTTCCTTTGACACTTCCACATGATTTCCCAAAGAAACACTTCTTACAGATGAATCACTAACAAGAAGATGACATCTCCTTTTAGGTGCCTAATCCACACTTGCCTGGTTTGCAACATCAGATACAAAAGTTACTTTTAGGAAAGCACTTTCTTTCTCAGGTACCTCATTTGTATGCACAAAAGGGTTTCTCACAAACAGCTATGTTTACAACCTTTATATCATCCCCCAGCTCAGAAAGAACATTATAAGGGTTATGCAGAATCACACCAAAAGCTACAGGTCCATAGTACTCACTCTTCCAGACCCAACAGCTGTCCACACTGCCCTTTTCCTTCACAGTCTTTGGGGAAGAGGTGGCTTTTTCTAAGGCAGCTCAACAGAACAAATTGGCTTGGCAGCCTCTTGATCTCAAACTGAAGGGCACAAACCACAAACATTCACACAAGTAATACTACCAAGTAGACTATAAATTGGTTTACAGACAGGACAGCAGTCCAGCTTCCCAAAAGTACCATTATAAACAACTGCCAAGCAAGTATTGCACTGAACTAAACCAGACATTGTAAAAATATTTACTTAAAATCAAAAGACCTATACTAACCAAAGATAGCTGACTGTCTTCAAATGCATGCTGTTTCCAAACTACTGCTGTTCAAACTATGGGGAAGATTTACTAAAACTAGTGCAGCTGTACATAGTAACCAATCAGCTTCTAACTTCAGCTTGTTCAGTTAAGCTTTGACAATAAAAACTAGAAGCTTATATCTCCCCCACAATTCCCATAGTCATGTATATTCTGCTTCCTGAGAAAGACATCAAAGTTAGTACCACTTCCAAGCTGATACCACTTCCTAAAGGAGGGAGTTCTATATTTTAACTGCTCTAACAGTAAAGGACACTTTCTGAAATCTATATTTGAACTTCCTTCCTTCTAATCTTCCTGTTCAAGTACCTTAGAGTAAACACTTTGTTTGTACATTGTAATCATGTCCTCTCTTAAGCGCCTTTTCTCCAGATTGAATAATTGTAATTTATGTAATTGATTCTCATAGCTGAGATCTTACACCCCCCCATCAATTTTTTTCCCATCAGTGAACTCTTTCTAATTCAGCAACAAAAACTCTAACAAAAGATTCTAACTCAGCAACAAAAGTCTGGTGACCAACACTGAACTGCATATGGAGTTGAGGCCAAACCAATATTTTGTAAGAAGGCAGAATTATTGTTTTATCTCTTGAATGTACTGTATGTCCTTTTTCATGCATGGCAGTGTTTTGGTTGCTTTGTTAGTTTCAGCCTGGCATTGCACGTTGTTGCTAGGTCTGTGAATTTTTCACATGCGTCCACATAGTACCATAATAGGGTGAACTGTCATAAATCCATGCTGGTTGTCACTTATGATACCATTATCACAGGCAAATATCTGTATAGAGTCCCTTACCATACCCTTACATACCGTTGATGTTAGGCTGACTGGTCTGTAGTTTTCTGGTATTCATCTCAATCCTTTTTTGTAAGTTGGTAAAACATTTGCTCTACACAAATTAGTTGGTACAATTCCAGTAGTCAGTAAAGTGTCTTTAAAACTTAGGAATATAGATTTGGCTTAACTGAGCTAAGCTGCCTAAGGACTCGTTGGTGCAAGATGTCAGGACCTGGTGATTTGTTTACATTAAGTTTCTCCAGTCTCTTTTGTGCCTGCTTTTCAATCAACCACAGGGGCACCTGTATATTACTATTGAGACTATCAAATCTGTCTTTTTCATCTGTAAAAATCATATTATCGTTATCATCCTAACATATATGATAATATATATATACAGTGTAAATACACATTGCATATAAATATATATATATATATATATATATATATAACACACACACTCACAGACACTATATTGCCAAAAGTATTGGAACGCCTGCCTTTACACACACATGAACTTTAATGGCATCCCAGTATTAGTCCATAGGGTTCAATATTGAGTTGGCCCACCCTTCAACTATTCTGGGAAGGCTGTCTGCAAGGTTTAGGAGTGTGTATGGGAAACCCAGACATGTCCAACATATTGCCAGACAAAGAAGCGTGATTCGTCACTCCAGAGAACACATCTCCTCTGCTCTAGAGTCCAGTGGCGTTGTGCTTTACACCACTGCATCTGACGCTTTGCATTGCACTTGGTGAAGTAAGACTTGGATGCAGCTGCCGGGCCATGGAAACCCATTCCATGAAGCTCCCTACGCACTGTTGTTGTGCTAATTTGAAGGACACACGAAAGTTTGGAGGTCTTTAGCTAATGACTGCGCATACAGTTAGCGACCTCTGCCCACTGTGACCTGACCCCGCTCATTTTAATTGGTCTACCATTTTGTGGGTGAGTTGCTGCTGTTCCCAGTTGTTTCCACTTTGTTATAATACCACTGACAGTTAACCGTGGCCTATTTAGTAGCAAGGAAATTTCATGGATGGACTTATTGCACAGGTGGCAACCTATCACAGTGCCATACTTGAATACATAGCAGAGCCATACAAAGCAGTGTGCTTACAGTGTAGAGCACAGACACGGCCCCCATAGTAAAACACACACAGCACACAGTTAACCCTTTCATCACCCCAGATGTTAACCCCTTCCTGCCCAGTGCCATTAATACAGTGCCAGTGCTTTTTATTAGCACTGTTCACTGTATTGATGTCACTGGAGCTGTCAATGGCACCAAGTCAGTTCCCCCCAGTGTCAGAATGCCCACCACAGCCCTGCAGTCCTGCTATAAGTCACAGATTTCCGCCATTACTAGTAAAAAAAAAAAAATTTCAGTATATATACCGCCATTTGTAGTTGCTATAACTTTCATGTAAACCAATTAATTTACATGTATTGGGATTTGTTTTAGCAAAGACATGTAGCAGAAGACATTTTGCCCTAAATTTATGATGAAATTTGACATTTTACATTTTTTTATTGGGCAGGTTTAATAGCAAAAAATAAAAACCGCACAGGCGATTATATACCATCAAAAGAAAGCTCTATTTGTGGGAAAAAAGGATGTGAATTTAAAGTAACGCAGCGCTGTAATGCAAAAAATGTCCTGGTCAGGAAGGGGGTAAATCTTCTGGAGGTCAAGTGGTTAAATCTGGCTTTTTGGACAAACTTGAATTCTATAATCAGGCAAACCTTTACTAAATGGAACCTTAAAGTGATTGTAAACGCTGAAAGTTTTTTACCTTCATGCATTCTATGCATGAACGTAAAAAACCTTCTGTGTGCAGCAGCTCCCCCAGCCCCCTCAATATTTACCTGAGCAGCATCGCAATCCAGCAAAGTGAATGACAGCCTTGGCTGTGAAGGGTTTCTGCCTCCTCATTGGCTGAGACAGCAAGTGGGAGCCATTGGCTCCCACTGCAGTCAATCACAGCCAGTCAGCTAATGAGAAGAGAGGGAGCAGGACAAGTGTGAATGGACACATTGAGCAGTAGGTGCCCCCATAGCAAGCTGTTTTCTGTGGGGGCACCCAACAGACAGGAGGAGCCAAGAGAACCTGCGGGGGACCCAAGAAGAGGAGGATCCAGGATCCATTTTACTACAAGTTAATACTGGGTTTGGAAAGGCATTTGATGCTCACAAAGTAGGTTCATGTCCTAGGTTCATGTCCTCTATGACTATTGAGAAGTTTAGCTTTAAACATGCAGTGATTGAAGGATTCATTTACAAACTTGCAATGTCAAAAACATTATCTGACTAGTAATCTTTTATTCTTTTGGAGAAATGAAATTGTGCACATTTTCTAGGGAACATTGCTTTTCCCTCTGTTTACATTGTAGTTTTTGCATTGCATACTACTGTAATGTAATATACGGCACAATTAATCTTTGTTCAGTATCTCTGTGTTGCAGACCTTTCTTACGTTATATATTAAGATTGTCTGCAGATGATTCTGTGATCAGTCATGGGTAAATTACTATCACTAGTGGGACCAAAGGTTAAATATGTGCCTAAGCTTTTTAATATGTTCCTCCAAAATTACTTGCTAGACACTCTGTTAGCATTGAAACAAAATTTTAATGAATTAAACTGTAGTAGCAGGTAGTTAAGCATAAAATAAAAATTCTTTAACCACAGTGTTCAATCACAGTGCTGAATTAAAGTTCTTCTGTGCATAAAAATTTAACGAGAATATAATTCTCCTTAAATTTTAGTAGAGAAACAAAATAGAGGTAGTAAAATACCAAAAGACAATACAGTTATAACACAGGACATAGGGAATAACCAGATAACACATATTATTCATTTTTCATGTTCATATTTTTAAACTCACAAGTCTGTATTCTTCAAGAAATAAAAAATAAGTTTAGGTAAAGGAAGAAATGATGCTTCTGTTTTATAGAAAATAGAAAACATTCAAAAACACCAAGAAATGTAATTTTTTGCCTGACAGAAATAGTAAAATATAAATAGCCTTCTCCCCTGGATAATAGGGTGCATTAACTAAAGTAGTATTTTTTTTCAGTCAGATTATTTAGTTGTCAATTTCTTCAAATATCCAGTCATGTGTAAAAGATGCTCCATTTTATTAAGCTACTACACATGGTTGGGTGTCTTATGTAAATGTAGGATCTTGGATACCTGGGCTAAGAGAAAAAATATGACTTTAGTATATCCCTCCAGTTTGTCACTTAAATTTAACATATTAGCAAAAGAGAAGTCCATTAGTGAAATAAGCCAGTTGGCACTCAACTGAAATGTTTTCCTTCCATAAGGAAGAAACATCACCGTTTCATTGATTTGAGTCAATAGTCCAAACACTTATACTTTTAATAATTAACCATTCATTTTGGTTTTTAGTCACTAGAATTCTAATGCAGTCAATGTTGAAAAGAACTTTATGATCTATGTTGTCCATTTCAAAGTTCCCATCTTTGAAATCACCTAATCTAAGATAAGTAGTACACTTTTTATTCCTTTTACTGCCAACTAGTCTTTCTCCAACTTCTACTATTCCATGATGCAAGATGTCATTTTGGCGATCTTCTGTTCCTGTGCAGACTTTTATTTTTGCTTATTTTGATAGGTTTCTCAAACACAATGTGATAAAAGTCACCACTGGAAGGAGTCTTTGCCCAGAAATATTCTTCTGTACTGCTGTATGCTTTATGGACATCGTAGTTTTCAAAGACATTCATATTTGTGCTGAGGACTGAAGGAGGGTTATCTGGTATATCAAATGAGTCCTCCTCAAAGTCATCATCCTTCAGTTTATTCTCAGCACCTTTATAAGATGAATAATATCCCATATGCTGAAAAAGTGAGGGCTTAAATCGAATTGCTTCTTTCTGAGCTAACAGGCTTCTAAAATGAATAAGCAGCCAATCACAAGGCATTTCCTGGTAAAACATGAGTAAAAAATGGGCTAGACGTGGTAGATCATAAGTGTGATAGAGTTTGCCAATGTATCCTAGTTTTGAAAACTCCAAGGTGACCCAGTTTGACCCTTTCCGCGAGTTAATAACTTTTTTAATTGCTGTCAAAAAATTCTTAGAGCACCTGACATCATCTTCCAGCATAAGATAATAATCAGAAAGGTTAGCACAAAAGTTTAATAGATAGGCATAGTCAACGTTTTGTTTGGATCTAAATTTGACTCTGGCATCAGGGTCATTGTAATTTCTTTTCAGACCTTCTAAGACCGGGTAGAATTGTACTGGAGTGTGGATAATTGCTAGTCTACCAGCAATAATATGATGAGAGAATTTTCTTGATATATCTTGCACTATGCTTTCACACCAGCTCAGGTCAAACTCTGCTAAATGAACAACTACAGCTATTTCTTTCAGTTCTTCGTAACTTGACTGTTCAAATACAGACTTAATAGTTTCAAGTAAATAATTTCCTTTTTTCCTTTTCACAGATGATAGTCCAATTGTAAGGAACCCTAAAAAAAAGAAAAGAAAAGTATTCACACCAAATTTGCTATACATCATTCTCTTAAGCACGTTGTAGTACTCTATGTACAATTTATATTTTATTCTAATATAATTCTAATCTGACAACAATATTGTTATTAAATGTATACTGTACATCTATCAGGTCATTTAACAACCTGCATACATGTACAAGTGTGGCTGTCATACAATTGCATCTTGCATCCTAAGTAAACTGATAATTGAGTTGATATCTGTCACATGGGATAGTTGATGGCAGCCTATAAATTTTCTATATATTGGCAGTGAAGGTTGAAAATGAGCTTTTTTATACAGTTAATTTGCATGTTTATTGGTATATGTAAAACTAAAGTTAGATCTTTCGAAAGAAACATTATAAAGGTTCATTAGGGTGCTAGGAATATTTCATAGTTATTCATAAACGATTTAAGTCACCCTGTGTAGTCAATGCTTAAAATAAAGAGCTTAATGGGTTTTATATTTTAGTACAAATAGAAGGATATATTAAAACTGGTAAGCCTGAGCTACTGAAGGATGCATCAACTTTACTGACAAACTGCGAGTTGTGTGACTTTTGACCTTGTTAATATGTAATCTAACGGGCCAGAGTCAGCTGCTGCATTTTTTTCAGTAAATGTATAGTAGTGAATATGCACGTGTAGCTGCTGGCAAACAAAGTTTGATATACCAAAGCTGTCACATTGTTTTAACTGGATGACTGGCTCTGTTCTACAATAAACCTTTATTTAACTAGTTTGCGACTGTAATGTACTGCATGCGGGTGGCTGATTGTACACAATGGGAGCCTGTCAGCAAGTCCTGGCCAATGATTCGTGGCTGGGACCTTCTGATGTACAATCACAGCCCAGAGTTCTGTGTTGGAACAACACAGAGCTCTGTACAGAGGGACCGATCTGTAAGTTTCTCATCCCTGCAAAGATCAGATTGTTTAGTAAAAGCAGCACATTTTGCGCACATTGCACATAGTTAGACACACATTTAAACCCTTGGTCTCCCTAGATGTTAACCCCTTCCCAGCTAGTGTCTTTATTACAGTGACAGTGTATAGTAATATCACTGATCACTGTATTAATGTCACTGGTGATGTCATTGCCAGTCATTGTCAGTTTGCCCTCGTGGCGCCGGTCGGCGTGACGTCACACTGCTGTAGCCCCCCCTCGACGTGTTTTGTGCAATAGCACGTAGTCATAGGGGGTTAGCTTCCTATATGACTACGTGACGTCACGCAGACCGGCGCCACGAGGGCCCCGGCGGCCATCTCATGCAGTTACATTGGTCAGTACTTCTCTTGGTTTTTACTGTATGTCTACTTGGATTAAACACTCCTCATCATAAGGATACTACACTATTTGGCCTCCTCTGTTTTTTTGAGCTCCTTTTGGGAGCCATCTACATCCACAGAGTAGCCTTTCCCAAGTGTGGCAGCACTTCCAAACAGTGAGGGGTATCTGACCAGATCTGACCAGACCCATATAGGATCCTTGATGTCCTGTGGTTACCAACTTTATATGCGCATTAAGATTGCGTATCTGGTGAGTGCGCAATCTTTACACACTTTATCACCTTATCCACGGATCCAGCCACTGGATTTTTGAAGATATTTTTGGGATCTCATTTGCACCTACACTATGGACTATATCTTGTACACTCATTCACATTACTAGTCACTATTTAGTGACAATTTTATCTGCACTTTGTCACTCATTTTATGCAATTTATTGTATTGCTTTTTATATCATTTATGTATATATCTAAACTTTGTGTGATCTAGCGGATTATTTTTAGCGCTGCACCCTGTTTTATTTGATTACCTGGAAGGTTTTATATGGTGCCTTTTGGTGTTCAGCTGCTGGCTTCATCTTCAATTTTATTATTTGGATTTTTGCCCTCACTCACTTTGTTGTTTTACTGTTTGACTTAAAGCCAGCCTGTTTGTGGTTCAGTGAAGCCCTGAACAAACTGGCCACCTTTAGTTTGTTCACCCCTTCTGAATTCCACTAAAATGCAAACAAATCATCTGGTAATCCTAGACGACATTGCTGACAAAATATGGTCATGACAATACTTGGTTAATGACATAATCTATTATCTCCAGCCATTTGTTGACATTATAGCTCTGCCAATGATTTTGTCATTTGTGAGTAGTGGTGGGGCTTCATTGTCATGTGCTGGCTCATTGTAGAAGCAAGAAAACATCATCAAGTGTTGGGTGAGCATGACTGGCCGTGGTTCTATGTTGCTGGCTGATGTGATTAATGCTGGATTTACACTGTGGACATTATTTAATATTTTTCAAATCAAGTACTTTCTCAAAATGTATATTTAATTTTTTGAAGGAATGAGTAATGGGGCACTAATGTACCTCGAACTAATGACCCTGGAGAAGGGCAAACATCTCTGGGCCCTCTTATTAAAAAGGTGTCTTGCAATGGGGGAAATCTTCACTATCCCCCTTGCAAGGAACCATCCCAATGCTGAAAGACATCTGGCCATGTGCCATATGCTTGCTGCCCTCTTTTCTGCAGCATTTCAGACTGCATGACTAGATAAGTGGGAAGAATTTTAAGGGGAACCCTACATGTAAGGAGAAAAGGTGAGGGGTTCCCCTTAAAATTCATACCAGACACTTACCCAAATTAGATGGCAGCAAGCAAGCAACCCCCCACCCTTCCTGAAATGCACTAAACCTCATACCTTTCAGAGAGTACCATGCAAGAGGTGTGTGGTAAGCTACTTTTTCCCACATCTGATCCTTTAGGGAATACAGTGGCTTGTTGGGAAGACTTACAGGAATCTGGTAGCCTTTTTATAATAAGGGCTCCTCAGATATCCATCTTCTACTCCACGGTAATGAGTTCAGGGTACATTAATACCCCTTATTATTCATTTCCAAAAATGTTAAAAGTAAATAAAGACTCCCACAGCATGAAAAAGCTCGTTGGTGACAAAAAAGTCCCAATGTACAATGTAAATCCTGCATCAATCATGTCATCTAACAATGGACATTCATCGCCAATCATGATAACGCACCTCCCAATAAAGTTTCCCTGCGACCCGCTTCTGTTTTCCCATTGCCACAACGCAACACTTGACTATGATGACCCATCATGCATCCAGGCTGGTTTGTATGAACAGCAGGTGAGGGTCTGGCATTTAGCAGTTGTAGTGCATAAGGGCAACATTGTCAGTAGCCTGCTTGGAGTAGAGTTTGGGATTCATTTTAGAGGGAACCCACACTATTGATTTCCAATTTTTCTAATGTGTCACTTTTAAAGGACTACATAATACTACTCTGTTGCTTCACATTCAGCTTAAAAGCAGTCCGAAGCATGTTATCTAAAAGATTTTTGTATTTCCAATGTTGCCCTTTAAGCCACATGAAAAGGCTATTTTTTTAAACAACGTTTAAAAATAAATGTACATGTCCCCCATGGTAGTGATCTACTACCCATGCTCTTTTTAACAATAGCTTGCAAATTAGCCTTAGAAAGGTCAGAAAAATTACAAGATTTGGCTTGTATAGTCTTTATTAGAATTTGACACTACATTTATGGTTCATGGACTTCCTGCTTGCCTGAAAGAAGTTACTGAGAACAGAGCTTTGCCAAATTCACTTATCCCCAAAAAATTGTATTACTGCTAATATTTTTAAATAAAAAGGCTTGAAAATGAACAATTATCTTACATGAACATATTGAAAATCAAAAGAATGTCTCTTTCATACAAAAAAATGTAGCTGCAAACATCTTAAAGCATTTTTAAACTAATAGAAAAGGTTTTATGTGTGTGCAGCTACCTCTAAAATACATCTGACATTATAACAAGAACCAAAGTCAGCTTGAACATATTTAACACATTTTGTTGTAATTATAACACTAGAAATTGTTCTAATAGAAAATTAATGCTGCTGTTATTGTTTGCCATTGTGATTGAATTTTCTATCTTTCTACATCCTCAAGGTGTCACCATTGCTTCTGCAGTTGATCTAGTAGTATGTGCTCTTCAGCTAGTTTCAGCATATACAACAGGCACAAAAATGTATTGTGATGACATTCTAAATTGGCTTGTTTTTATACTGGTTTTAAGCTTTCCATAAACAAAAAAAAAACCTTCCCAGGTTTGATATTATATTGTTAATGATTGCAATTTTGTCTACTGATCTCATTTGTTAAAAACTAGACTTCAAAAAGAGTAAGGCAGATGATATATATTCCTTGGTGTTTAACATTTTCAAAAACAAGATTCCCTTTTTGTTAAGGAATGTTCAAATTCTATATTAAACTGATGTAGGAGGCTTGAAACTGTGAAGCATATCAAATCAATGTTGTTTTAACTTAACAAAGCAAGGCAAAATCTGCCTAATTGTCATATAGTAAACTTTGTGCATGCATTGCATTCAGATTGTTCTCCAGAAATACAATTTTATTTAATTTTAAGTCTTGCCCTAGAAGAACAGGTTGACCCAAAAGAGATATTTCAGTTATGAGTAGATTCTTTTGGGAAATGTCCCCCAGCTGAGTACTTCTGGTATCAAGATTTCATTGCCATAGCTTTTGCCTCTATTCCCTTAATTTGGGCTGTGGGATGTTCACAGTAACCAATTCATGTTTTCCTATTCTTCTTTTGAACTTTTCATAATTTAAACTTAATTAAGAAACAACTGTGTGCAACCCCCTTATACAGTTGTGTTTAATATTGAAACTCAAGCAAAGAGATTTACTTCTGGAGCCTAAGAGAGATATAAAATACTTCTAGGTTTAACTTTTGAGAAGTTAATTAGAAAGTATCCATTAGTCTGAATATTTTAGGCTTATATTACGTACTTTTTCTTGAAACAGGTATCCCTGCTAATATGCGATATGTCACATTTATAGATGATGAAAAATTTGAGAAATCTCTTATTGTATGGACATATTGATCTGAATTGAATTGTTGTTGAGTTGAACCTTCTTTAAGTCTTTTATCTTCGTCCTAAATATAAATACAAAGAAACAAAATATGCATTTACTAATTGCAAAAACTTCATTTCAAAAATCTTTTCTTCTTCTTAGCACTATTTGCAAATAATTTATTTAAAATTAGAACTTTAGTGCAGTTTTCAAAAATAGCTCTTCATAAGACAAAATACTGTGTGTGTTGGGTCCTCTTCCCATTGCAGTCATATATATGTAGAAGAACTGAGAAGAGTAAGATGTCTGGGTGTCTCTGGCTCCTTGGCATGTCATACAAGGTTTCTCATGATACAAATTATGTTCTCCCTATTTTACTTTATGTATGTTGTGTTCTTTATTGCATAAAATACCTTCAGGGCATCTTCATTTGGGTCTACATATTGGTTTCTCATAAATAGGTATTCATGTAGATGTACTATCAACCCCAAATTAACTATTAATACTGTTGTGTAGGGTGTCTAAATGTGACTGTGCAGTGCATAGGCACTAACTAGCACTCAGTAACAGACACAACCCTCTCTTCTTCTGCTATAGAAGTCTGCGTGAGGACACTTGTGAGGAGGTGTGTGGCTGTAACTCAGCTCTGTCAGCACCAGGGGCGGACTGACAACTCATGGGGCCCCCGGGCAATAGGGGATCATGGGGCCCCTGTGTCCTTGCCCACACTCAAAAAAGACTATAAAAAAGGTACCAGGGGCATTTCATGGGGCCCCCTACTGACCCTCGGCCCTCGGGCAGTGCCCGAGTGCTCGAATGGTCAGTCCGCCCCTGGTCAGCACAGAGCACTGGACCAGGAGAGCCGGAATCAATATTGTTAATTTAAAAAATAATTTAGGTGACTTCTAAGCAGAGAAAAAAGTCACCAATTATAACATGTAGGGGTACAGGACTATAAAGAGGTATGAGACTTCACTGTGCTTTAACTGCCATCCAGAGCAGAGTCTGACTGATCTGTTATTTTCAGCTCTTTGCCATGGCTGAATTTGGACTCCATGTAGATAGAGAAACTTTTTGCTAAGGCAGAAGCAGCTTGTCAGAGCATTCTCCTCACTCAGAACACACTCACAGCCACAGCAAATAGCTGAAAACAGCAAGGAATTAGCAGGAGGTTACTCAATGGGTAACTACAGGAAAAATTATTGCCTATGGTTTTTTTTCAGCCATTTACTGAGTGCACAATGAAGGAGCAGTACTGAATGAAGTCATCGATGTGCTCTTTTTCCTGATCTCATCAAGTTGGCAGCACTGTACTGAAGAGGCAGAGCCCTAATTGGCTCACAACGATGTCTCTTTCTCTCCCAGTACTGCTGTGCAGGGAATTACAAGAAGCTTAAATAAAGACAGATTAAGAAGCTTTTACTGGTTGAATTTATATAAAAAAAAAAGAAATGCTTTACTGGATTAAAAAGTTGTTTCTACGTGTTCTCAATTTTGCTATAAATATGTATTGAAAACGTAGCAAATTATATATTTCCCAATGTTTCCAGGCATATTAAAACAATAGGTTAAATTACTATTTAATTTAAGGTCCAATTCACACTTACTGTAAGTGTTCCATTGCAGTGTTTAGAATAGAGATATGTCATAACCATATAGCACAAATACAGATGAAATCTGGACCAGGCCTTAGCTAACCCTGAAGGCATTTGCTTTGGGCTTTGGCCATGAAAGGAAAGAGCAAAGCTTATGATTTATATGGAAAATAATACTAACTGTCTGGGACTATTTACTTATAAAAGTAATTCTGGTAATCAATATGTTCCTAATGCATTGACGTTATTAGCCATACAATTCATCATATCCATACATATAGTTATACCTAATAATAGAAAAGACCACAAAATAATTTCTGAATGAAAACAGGGAGTGAAGAATGAGAACACTACTTGTCACAGTTTGTTAATTGTGGTGACTAAACATGATGCCTAAAGCAGTTCTGAAATATTAATTATACCTAAAGTGTGGCCAACATTTTTCTAGCAATTAGCAAATTAGCAAAAAGGCAATAGATGGGTCAGTATAATTGAATCATGCTCACCACAACATATTCATCCTCGATGTACAAGTTCATGAAAAGGAGGCAAAATATTAGAAATCCAAGGATCGGTATTGCTGAACGTTTTCGGAAACATCTCATTTTATCCAGATATTTCAACTCAGTTGTTGTAGGAATAAATGCATATATTACCTAAAAAAACATAGACTATAAATATTTATCTTTTTTTCCAAGTCCAAATTTCTTGTAATAGTATTAGCAAAAATAAGAAAAACTGTTATGTAGCAGAATACTGTGATGTCTTGTCTACCAGTGACATTAAAATATGCATGGACTCATAACTTTTAAATAGGCTATACCCATGTAAATTTACATACATTTTTAATATGTTTACCTAAAAGTAGTTTTGATTTTGCTTGCATTACATTTTTATAGGCCTCCAAGGTCTACTTGATCTCTGACCAGCCAGTCACAGTGGTCACATAAGGAACAGGTCACACTGACTCCCGATTATTACTATAGATTGAGATTTGTCTTTGTCAGCTCAGTCTCTGTGGTGGGAGTGCACTTTGAATGCGCTTTCCTCAGCACAGAACATCTGCCACCCATTTACACACATATGTGTGTGTGTTAAAGCTTGCCTACTTGCTGGCAAATCTTTTACAGTATTGCTGACAAACAGCAAGTCTGGTTATTGCAGCAACCTTTAAACTTTATAGATGCTGTGAAAAATTATGCTGGCATAAAACCAGCTACATTGAATTAGATGCAGTCACTGTTTGGGCATTAATACATTAGCTGCAACAGGAGATGTGTCCACCCATGCTGTAGAGAGTGGATGAAGGTATCTGGTAGTTGTTTTCATTTCACCTTTCTGTGCTAATATAAATCAACATTGAAAACCATACGTATGGCTGAACTAGCTTTCATACAGAATTTGTATTCAATTTGCAAAGAATATTTCAAGGGAAGAATTCATTTGTTCCATAAACACTGAAGACTTTCAGCTTTAGCTTTTATTCTATTTTTGATTGCAGTAATTTACAACTTAACATACACTTTTTTGATAACCACACATAAATATTAGCATTTAAAGAGACACCTACATTTAAAAAAAAACTCAGATTAAGAAACAGGAAATCACATATTCAAAATGCTTACTTTAATTTGTTTTCTTTCCATAAATGATGTTTTATTCCGAAATTTTTCATTATTATTTGTTTAGAAAATTTGACAACTCCAAGAAGAAGTCTATTACCTAGCACCTAGCACTGTTGACCGAGCAACCCCTCTACCTTTACCTCTATTGATAAGCTTTAATGTAGCTTCCAGGGGAAGAGTTCAAAGCAATTTTGTACATTGTCGTTGGAGTGACAGTTGGGGGCCATTAATATTACAGCCAAGATGCTGGCCCCCCATGAGTAGTTTAAGGGTTTTTGGATGTTTATAAAAGGTAGACTTTTACAAGTAAATACCATGCATTAAATAGGTTACATGCAAATATAACACAGCCACAAAAAAAAAAAGGTTTTCCTGGTCCCTTGCTTTTTTAGACCTGTTCTTGCTTGACTGCAGCAGCTCTAGTTAGATACGCTTGAAATTATACAGTTTTTAGTCAGTTTTTGAAAAGCTCTTGCCAATCAACTTGTTTTTCTGTTACCTAGTTTGTGCATTTGTGTACAAGTTAGCAGATTTTGTATTTACGTACTTCCAACTGTAATTTTACAATGGAAATATTGGTTTCTAAAGTGTAAATTAATAACTGTATTATACATTAGTTATGATCGAATAGGAGATGTGTGTATATTACCACTCATATTGATTAGTTTTTTGCAAATCGAGCACCATAGAGGTTATGGCTACTTTTTTTTTATGTGTTTCTTTCATGCTACTAGGAGATTAAATAAAACACTACATTAACCACTTCCAGTCCGGACACTTTTACCCCCTTCCTGTCCAGGCCAATTTTCAGCTTTCAGTGCTATCACACTTTGAATGACAATTGCGCGGTCATGCAACACTGTACCCATATGAATTTTTTAGCATTTTTTGAGACAGATAAAGCCTTATTTTGGTGGTATTTATTCACAACTGGGATTTTCATTTTTTTGCTATATAAATGAAAAAGTCCAAAAATTTTGAAAAAAAGTGTTTTTCTTATAAAATTTAGCAAATAAATAGTTTTTCATCATAAATCTTGGCCAAAATTTATTCCGTTATCTTTTTATTAAAAAAAAAAAAAACTCAAATTAGTTTATAACCAAAAATTATAATTTTTAAACATTTTTTTTTTTTAAATGTTTTTATTTTTTTTATATTATTTATTTTTATTTTTTTTACATACTGTCACCCTAGCAGTACAGTGTCACCATGGTGACACTGTACAACTTGTGGAGGGTGATGAAGATTTTTTTTTTTTTTACACTGATTGCTTTTACACCCATAAAGGCATTCCACATTACACCCATTTACAAAATGCAATAATTTCTCCTTCTCTCTAGCTGCATTCTTGCAGCCATTGAGAAATACTATGTGAGCTGTGATTGGTCCCAGCTTGTCACATGGTACAAGACTGTTGTGAATAGCCTTGTACCATGTGACCTCTGTGATCATTCACAGATTTCACATGTAGTAAGCAATGATGTCACAAGTGACATCATTGCTTACTACTCTGCATGTGATCACTGATTGGCCAATCAGTGATCACATGATTGGGACCTCGCACAGAGGTCCCGTCCGACGATTGGAGGACACAGCGGGCACCGTATTGCAGTGCTGCGCGCTCCCAGGGAGCGCGCACAAGCAGGGTGCGGGGAGGCCATTTATAAATGGCCACCCGACCCTCTAGTGCCACCGTCCGGTCGTTTATATACAATGGCTGGATGGGAGGTGGTTAAAATATCCTGTTTTTTACATGAGAGGTGACCAGAGTAAAGAATGGTATATGGCTTTCATGTTGTATCTCAAAAACGTGAGCTGATAGTGAGCAATTGGTGCCATTTTTGGAACAGGTCTAACATTTGAGGCACAAAAATGTATGGTAGCCAGTGTGATCTCATGGGAAGATTTTTGCTGAAAGGATTGATCTGGCAATAGGGTCCCTGTCCCCTGTGACATCACTTGGTTCCAGAGTTCCTGAGTGGTCAGTCATCAATCACCATTGCTTTGATGTGGAAGAAAAAGAGATAGCATCACATGCTAACTATATTAGGAAATGTTAGAAATATTTTTCTTCTCTTTGGGTACTGAAATGCTCAGTTGGGATTTGAAAAAAGGGTGGCTATTTGCTGCTGGGGAGGGTGACGGCTAAATGAACAAGTTGCTTTTCCCTCCATGGCTTCTTCATATCCAAAGAAAGGCTACAGTTGAATATAAGAAACTAAAATGTAAAAACATAACTTTAGATAAATCAGTCAGTTTAGGCACCAGTGTTTTAGCAAGGTTTGTTTTTGAAAGGAACTGGGGAGTCTCAGTACCTGGTGTCACGTTCAGATGATAAGACCACCTGGGATTGTAAACTCAAGATCTAGCAGGCCAGTGGAAACAATTAAACAGGTGTACCCGGGTACAGGTCCTTGCAGATGCAAGAGCAGAGTGACCACATGCAAACAGAGGTGTGTCAAAGTCGCAGAACCTAGGGAGCAGGGGCGGACTGACCATTTGGAAACTCGGACACTGCCCGAGGGCCCGGGGTCAATAGGGGGCCCCATGAGATGCCCCTGGTACCTTTTTCATAGGCTTTTTTAGTTTGGGCAAGGACACAGGGGCCCCATGATCCCCTATTGCCCGGGGGCCCCATGAGTTGTCAGTCCACCCCTGCTAGGGAGCCACTCAGTCTTCACCAGAGCCACTGGAAGTGTGGATGTACTGAAAGGCAGTTCCCAGGTTGCGGCTCTCAAACACACCCGTGAGGTCACAGTGCAACCAAGTAGCATGCTGGAAGGACACTGGGTATGCACAGGATACTAGGAACTAAGGTAATCTACTGCAGCAAGCTAGGAAGAGATGCCATGGGAGAGGATGCAGGGACCATGTGTAAAGTACAGGAGAGTGGGACATGATAAGCAATGATGCAGAGAGAGAGAGAATCAGCAAGCTGGAAAGGCTTGCAGGGCAAACACAACAAGAAACAGTGCTGAGGACAACACACACAGAAACAGGAAATGAAGGGATCCACGGACAGAAACCAAAGGGAATTGAAACTGCACAGCCAGAAGGAAAACACTGAGAACAAAGACAACATCAAAATTGCAGCAAACACCACAGGAACCAGAGGGGGCCAGCTTCCGCGTGAACATATTGCTTGAACACACAGGTGCAAAGGCTTAATATTACCTAGGTTCAGGGCAGATAAGCAGGGACTCGGGCAACTCAGACAGGAGGAAAAACCCAGCGCCGGATTGATGTGTATGGAAGCGTGACACTTGATATGGCCAGGATGAGATAACTATGAATTTAAAGGGATTAATGTAATGTTAGCAGTTAAATTAAGATTAGAGTTGGGATTAAGCACTACCTTAAGCAGGAGACATAGAAACTGGTATATTTTAATGAAGGATGGATAGTCTTTGAAACAGAGAGCCCTAATGCAGGAAAGGAGATTATACAAACATGGGCTTAAGTTTACTTTAGATATATGTATAGTCTAAACATTTTCTTTTTAGATAGGTAGTTTTTACTGCTGTGAATCCATTAGGTACATGCACCCTTTATTTTCATCTTGGTGACCATTGTCACTGAGACATAAAGTGGTGATAAATTTTTGTTTTACACTTGTCTTCAGAACAACAGGTGAGCATACATTTTCCAGTGGGAACATCTTTTCTGGTGACAGCTCTCTAAAGAGGTTAAAGTAGAACTATAGGCAAAAATTTTTTCATTTTGGATAGAGTAAGTATGACTCCTATCCAGGGGCGGACTGACAACTCATGGGGCCCCTGGGAAATAGGGGATCATGGGGCCCCTGTGTCCTTGCCCAAACTCAAAAAGCCTTTGAAAAAGGTACCAGGGGCATCTCATGGGGCCCCCTACTGACCCCGGGCCCTCGGGCAGTGCCCGAGTTTCCAAATGGTCAGTCCACCCCTGCCCCTATCATATTTTTTTCGCCATCTGTGTCCCATTGGAGAGATTTCTCTTCACTT